AAAAAAAAAAGAATACATGAACAATATTGACTACATTGCCTTCTTAAAAATTCCACCATGGAGTTTTGGATCCCTCCTCTCTCTTTTGGCTACAATCTTGTCTTGTAATTTGTCCTTTTGGATCCCTCCTCTCTCTTYTGGCTAATAATTTGTCATATGAAGGCTTCAAAATCCTATCCAAAACATTGGCTAATTTTGATGTACCAATGGCTATGACTGCTTCACTTATATACTGATTAGTTGCTGGTACTTAGACATGTTCATGGGCTGGGCTCAGGCTTAGGTTTTTCCAAAATTTAAATGGACCCAGCCTGAAACCTGAGCCTGATGCAGTGTAAAATGTTCATGGGCTGTGCCCAAAGCCCAGCTTGTGAACAGGTCTACTGATAGTCTGATACTATGGTTCCAAGATGTAAAGCAAATGAAAACAGGCTTTACAAGGAATAGTTATACCATTTTTCTATAATGGCCTAATGGACAGTATTTCCTCCTGGACTTGATCTCTAAATCCATCAAATTTGTTTCATTGATCTATGTTCTTTGCAGGGATTGTTTTCTTTACCATTCGATGGTGGGATCCAGCAACATTTGAAGCCATGCACTCAGATGGAAATGCTGGTCGTAGGGCTTCATGGCCTTACGTTGAAAATAAATCTTACCTCTGGACATGGCTGTTTGTGGTTCCCCTGGCTGCTTACACCTTGTGGCAGGTTCTTTATTTTCTCATTGTTAATGTCCTTCGCCGACAGAGGCTACTAAGGGATCCTGAAGTCATGACTTCTTACAGGTTCTCTCTCTCTCTCTCTCACACACACACACGTGTGCACACATGCTAACTCACCAAAACATAGTTTGCTAGCCTTTTTTTTTTTTATTTCTCTATGCCAATACTCCCTTTATTTTAACAGGGAACTCTCCAAGAAAGCACAAAAAGCAAACAACATATGGTGGCGTTTAAGTGGTTTACTAGGGGATCAGAACCGCATGCTGATGTATATCCTACTCCAAGCTGTATTCACTGTTGCAACCATGGCACTCACCGTCCCAATCTTTTTATCATATGAAATGCATGTGATTTTTCAAACACTGAAGGTCTCAGCAACCATATGGAATGGAGCAAGCTTTCTTCTCGAAGTAATGCCAAGGCAGGTTATTCTCAAAGAGAAAAGGAAGTTGGAGATGCAGCCTTTACCAATTCAGCCAAACCAGACTGTTGCCACAGTAGAACCTTCAGAAGATGCTAAAGAACCTGTCAAGATCGACCATTTCTAAAATCTATGTACAAATAATACCTGTAAAATTCTGTTTTGTTACAAAAGCAAACTTTGTTAATTGCACCTTTAGTTCTGTGCAGTTTGTACTTTTAAACAATTATGGCATGTTTTCAGGAAAGCAGATTGTATGGTTTGCTTTTTCCTAGGTGCACGTCGAAGCCGTCATAATTTGTTTGATGCTTCTAAAATTATTAGTGAAGAAATATTGTTTTTATGAATTTTTGTTTAGGATGGTTCAACCCTCCCAATTGTCGTCAACCCGTCAGTCATGGATTTTGTTGAATCCCGGTCATCTCTCTCTCTCTCTATATTTTGTGTTGGTTTTCATTTTGAAAGTCTCTTTTCATTAGGCTGTGTTTGGTTRAAGTGTAATTTTATTTGCATTAGTACAAAAGCATGGGAGTGCAAATGAATAAAATGCAAATTCTCATTTAATTTTGTTGTGGGTCTTACTTTATTCTGTTTCATATCTACTTCATTTGTAATGCAATCAAACAAAATAAGCTAAAATTTGAAACTAAGATAGATCATAATTTACACTCAAATCATTTGCACAATCAAAGTTTTGCA